CGTTCAGTACCGCAAGGTATCATCCAACCACCGATTTTTTTTTTCAAACTCCTTGCTGAAACGATCTAGTTTTCTTTAAGCACAGATAAATCTTGCGCATCAAGTAACACACCAGAATGCTACGGCGTTCAATTACCAGGGCGTTGTATTACTTTACCACCTACTATTTGGTATTAAACGTTGGTTGGTTCTGAAACATCATCAGTAGTAGTATTAGAGCTACTTGGTGTTGTTGCTTCAACTACAGGTTGAGCCGCACTGTTGGTTCGCCGTTGGGTGGCTCTCTAAGATAATGTGCTTCCACATTGATATCAGTTCTATACCCCAGTATTATTTTTTTTCTCTCCAGATGAACTCACTATTATGTGGTTTCTATGAATTGAGGCATATAATGTCAGAAATATATATAAAAAAAAACTATTGAGGTTGATAATGACAAGTGGGCTCTGGATTGGGAGCCTTGGTTCAAAATGGATGCATTTTCAGGGTACTTGAAGCAGTACAACACCATCTATGACCACATACAAGGCGACCTGCGTAGCTTGACTGAGTTGGAGTGGGAAGCACTCAAGTACATACTTGAGCAGATGGGAGTTTGACGGCTAGCACCGTCGAGAGGTACTGTGGCATTGCAATCAGGGGTGATCAGGAAAGGCGACTTGTTGACCGATTACTGAGAATAGGGATTGTAGTTCAAGGAAGCAGTGGTGAATTAACCATTGTGTCTGAGATGATGTGTCGAGTCTGTGTTGAAGCGCTCCCCGAGCAGGTAATTCATCAAGCTGCTAATACCGATGACCCAGTACTCCACTTGTCTGTTGCACTTCGACAAGTGTACCCCAACATCATTTCAAATCATCGTGTGAGGAATCGACAAGCATCGAGTTCATTTCATCACGAGCTATATTCGACAATTCGGGATTTGTTGAAGAAAAGAGCACTGACCAGGGGTATTTATGCCGAAGCAAAAACTACAGGCAGCCCAAGGAGAGCCGATATTCTTGTCGCCAATGGGGTCCGAATCGCGTACGTGCTGAAGTCAAATCAATTAGAGATTGAGGTGGCCGTGAAGCAAGCAGATGAGTACAGACAACTGTTCAACGTCGACCGGATGCTTGTTGTTAACTTCGTTCCCGTTGGGCACAAGTTGGACGAAGTGTATCGATTGAGCGGGTTTCCGAGGATCCAGATCGTTCATGCCCGGTTTGTCGATTCCTGTGATCAATTTTCCCTTCAATACCTGGGGGAGACGAAACGGAGTCAAGAGCACAGCTTACAAAAACTTGGTCCTGCGCTTCTCCGTTCCGTCGGGTTTCGCGACCTCCGGCACGAACGGCACAAGAGACTCAATCTTGGCCTTGACCTCGGGCGTGACCTTCTCTACAACTGACAGTGCCTTCAGGTTCTGCTTCAGCTGCGCCAAATTTCTGGCAGCGATGAGAACCGACGATACGTTCTCGTTGCTCATGCACCAGGCGATGGCAAGTTCCGGCAGTGACACCCCAAGCTCCTCGGCGACAGGCTTCAGCTTATCAGCATTGGCAACGCGTTGGTCATATTCACCGACGAACGCCTTCATGACAGGGATGTCCATGCGAGTTCCCTTGACCGTCCCGTTGGAATGTTTACCCGTGAGAATTCCACTCGAAAGAGGAGCCCAGGTTGTGAGACCCAGCTTGTACTTCTTGTACAGGTGGAGGTATTCGTGGTCCACTCTCGAGCGGTTGAGCATGTTGTAGATGGGTTGCTCCACGACTGGGCGAATGAGACCAAGGCGGTCAGCGATCTCGCACGCCTCCATGATCAGTGGTGCGGGCCACTGGCTCGTTCCCCAGTAAAAGGCCCAACCCCGTTCAATGACGTAGTTCATGGCTCGGACAGTCTCTTCGACAGGGGTGTACGGGTCCGGTCGGATGCAGTAGAGGACGTCGACATAGTCCAGATTCATCCGCTTGAGCGACGCCTTCAAGCCTTCGACGATGTGCTTGCGAGCCAAACCTTGGTCGTTGGGACCCGAGCCTCCATGGAAACCCTTGGTTCCCATACCGAGTTTGGTGGCGATCACGAGGTCCTCGCGTTTCCAAGTGCCATCGTTGATGCCCATCTTGATAGCAGTCCCCGTGTACTCCTCTCCGAGGCCCATGCCGTAAGAATCCGCGTTGTCAAAGAAGTTGATGCCATGTTCATACGCAGTTTTCATGATCTCGTACCAGAGTTCTGCGCTTTTCGTCTCGCCATATTCCATCCAACTACCGAGTCCGAGCTTGGACACGAGCAGGCCGGAGTTGCCGAGAAAACGGTAGCTCATGCTGGAAGGCGTGGGGACAGCGATTGAAGGAGCCATTGGGGTTGCTGGTGAAGTGATTTGGTGTTGAGAAAATCAGAAATGAGCTACAGACTCGTGGCATGCTCAATACGAGCTGATAGGCGAGGTAGATTACTACATGACGCCTGGTGTTCGTACTCGTGGCAAGTGCGGAGGGTCCGTTCTAGAGACCGCTTCGTGATCTAAAAATGCTTGCCCGCCTTGACGCTTTTGACTACTTGATATGCATGACGTATCAAGTAATCTGGTGAGATTGTTTATAAACACAGGTAGTAATAGTGCGTGCAGCCTGTTCAATTTAGGCTAGCTGAAACCCTAAATCTACTGTTGGAATGCTGCAAACACAGATCGCGTAATCTCT